GAGGAAATGCTAAAACAAATGCAAGACAATGAGAGGAGGAAGAGGGAGGAAGAAAAACAAGATTGGATAAAACAACATGAGATACTCACAAAAGAAATCCAGCATGAAAAATCTCTGACAGAACAGCAATGTAAAATGTATGAAGACAAAATTAAGTTAATAGAACAGCAGAAGCAAGAGGAACTAATGAGACTACAACCAGTGGACTGTGAAGAAGAGAGACAAAAAGACGTGGAGAGCATGAAAATGTGCTGCTCCCAAACCGCCTCTTCTCTAAAGGTAAGTGGTCAATGAAAATCATGTCAAGGGCATTTGGAGCCCTGATAATTAGTACGTTTGAGTACTCCCTACAGTATCGGGGCTGATATATCATGTATATGTGAACTCCTCAAATTATCTCAGACTACCCCTAAAGGGTCCCACAAACAAACTGTATTCAGACCCCCTCAGAGGTGATCTGAGTAAGGTTCGTTTATGGGTACTTTGGGTTTGACTGAGTCCACTTACATTTTGAACATTAACCGGGTTCACTTAAACCACTTTTCCACTGTTGGGCCAAATAGTTATAAGAATGGTAAAGAACAGTTCCAGTTGTGTTTTTCACTTGAGCTCAGTTCTGCACGGCAAGATTAGGAACCATTCTTGGCCTGGAATTCTCAGCACGGTTTGCTAGCACGTGCTGACAGAATGCATGCAGTGAAGTCGCCACTCAGGATTGGCCACTTGTTTGATGTCTGGCTCTGTAGCTGAATAACCCTGTTGAAAAAACAACATATGCTGGTTACGTATGTTTTGAAGCATGGAAACTGGTTTAAGCTGGTACTGAGCTGGTTATAAGCTGGTTATGAGCTGGTTTAAGCTGGTCATGTGCTGGTCCTAAGCAGCTAGCTCCTGCTCAGGACCAGCTTAAACCAGCTCATGACCAGCTAAGGACCAACTTAAACCAGCAGCCATGCTTCAAAACATACCTAACCAGCATATGCTGGTTTTTTCAACAGGGAAGAAGAGATATTGAAATGTCACGTTTGAATTTGGTTTACCAATCAAATGCATTTATTCTCTATTTGACTATCTATCAGGTGATCGCTATGCCTGATGTATACATTCACCTCCACTCTTCACTTCATTCTGGCATAATCTGGAAATGGTCATGCAAAGAACAATGTTCGATAAGTAAAAATGCCAGCTATTCTAAAAAAAATGTGAGAGAGGGGCTCAAAAAAAAAAAAAAAA